CAACTCTTCCTCCTCCTCCTCCTCCTCCTCCTCCTCCTCCTCCTCATCATCATCATCATCATCATCATCATCATCATCAGCAGCATCCCCATCATCATCTGCATTTGCATTTGCATTTGCATTTGCATCAGCATCAGCATCAGCATCGTCATCATCATCATCATCATCACCATCATCATCATCATCATCATCATCATCATCATCATCATCATCATCAACATCATCATCATCATGCGGAACCGGGTTGGGCCTCCTCTGACCTCCCGATCCCGCAGCGGGCGTCGGCGGCGGAGCCCGCAGGGCTCGAGGAGAGGATGCGGCCCCTTTTCCAGTCCTGCTACCAGGAACCAAATCGCCCCAAGCCGGCTCGAACCGAGCCGCCGGCAATGGGAGAGAGATAGGAGGGAGAGAGAGCGGGGGAAAAGGGTATATAACGGGCTTAAAGCCGAGAGCAGGGGACAGATCCAATCCGAAGGGCTCGTTTTTCCTCACGGATTCTTAATCTTTGTGGATCTGTGCCCAGTTCGATGGCCGACCTCTGATAGGCAAACCATCCATTCAGTCATCCAAGACAAAGGCGCCATGGTCGCGACCCATGGCGGTGAAATTACAATATGGAGCGAGCCCAGAACCAACGCTACCGGGCTCATGAAATCAAAACACAGAAAACTCTGTCCAGAAATCCTGCCATTTACTCTCACGATATGCAAACGGACCAGCCGGTCCAATCGGATGTACATATTCCGAGGAAGAGGAGGAGAGAGTAGATAATTAGCACCACACCGCACTCGAGCGCACAAACTTGCACTAGCCTCGGCACGACACGAGCTTAGACAATTGGAGGGGGAAAGGAGAGGTCCAGATCATTCACTATGGCTCAAGGACTCCGGGTGTGAACCTGCCATCCTTGGCCAACCCCCTCATTCTGGATTCCCAGCGTTCTCGAGCGACACGCCGGGCCGTCTTCACCATTTCCTCTCTAAACTCGATACTCCACGTGCCACGCTCTAACGTCCCTCGAAGATGGTCCGCCGGCATGTCCTTCGTCAGAGCATCGCTCAACATGTTGGTACCATCCGTCCAGCGCACCATCGCCTGCGGCCTATCCAGAATCTCCCTGATGCCGGCCAACTCTAGGTTGACCGACTTCTGCGCCGAGCTGCCCACTCCGGCGTCTGAGTTGAGCCTGTCGTGGCCGTCCTTCGAATCCGTCACAATCGTCATCGGTATCTGCCAGCCCGACAGCTTCACCCCTGCGCCCCTTGCCACGGGGCCGCGCAACATCTCCGCGATCTGGTCGCGCATCCCTTGGGCGACGTCCACGGCGTCACCCACGGAGATCACCTCCGCAGCGTAGGAACTCCTCGCCGCGCGCTTCAACTTGTGGCTCTTGCCCTCCAACAACGAGAACCGGCCCGCGCCGCCGTCCACGAGCGCGCGGTCCGCGAACAGGATGAGGAAACCGGCCTGAGTACCAATCTTCTCGGTCGCCGGATCTGACTGCAACGCCGTCCCGTCGCTCATCGCATTGCCCAGTGAGCTGTCTGATACCACCACCAGGCCGAATCTCTGGAGGTCGATCGGTCGCATCGTGATCTTGAACGTCGAGCTGCGCTTCAACTCCCTCAGCAACTGGTTCGCCTTGATCAGCGCCGCGAACCTCGGGCCCTTCTTGCGCCCCTTCTCGCGCTGCAGCACCGCCAGGTCGTACGAGTAGTCCACTCGCAGCTTGGTCACCAGCCAGTTGATCTTGCCGACCACCTGCTGATACTGCTTCCATTCCATGGCGTTCATGGGCTGGTGCGCCACCGTGCGTCGTGCCCTGGGTACAACCACAGGTTCCAGCCCAGCTGCGTATTCCATCATGTCAATAGTGATAGCTCCTCCAGGCTGTCGCTGAAACCGCCTGCCGCAGAAAACAAAGTTATCGTACTCTTCACTGCCGAAGCCGAACTCCTTGACCAGCGCGTCCATCACAGTCGCCATCTTCTCGTTCCCCGCCCAGAGGAAGTCGTCCACATGCGCGCAGACACAGCCCCACATCGCGTCCGGCCCACGCTTCTTCCCTTTCGGGTCGTGAAGCACCAAGAATGCGGGGTCCGAGCGAGAAGGTTCGAGTCCCATCTTGCGGGCTGCTGAGACCACCTTCAGGTACCACAGCCTCGGCGCCGTAGGCAGTCCGAACACGCCCTTCCGAACTCGCGCCAGTCGACCTCGAGGAAAATCTGCGAGCGAGGGCCCATGCATCGGAGCGCGAATCACCAAGCCGCGCTCGTCCACCTCGCCCTTGAGAAACGCGCCACTCACGTCCTTCGATCCAAACTTCCACTCCGGGTGAGACGCAGCTACCTGCGTCAAAATCATCTCCGACTGGGTGGTCGCGCAGGGCGCGTCCACTCTCACGTTGGCCTTCTCGTCCGAAAGCCCCGGGTCGCCACTGTTGACCACCGGCCTCGCGTTCGCCTTCAACGGTAGGTCATTCGCCTCCGTCCTCAGCGGATCGTTCTTGTCAGTCAGCACCCACCGCGTACTCATGATGTAGTCGCCCTTGCCTTCGCGCTTCATCTGCTCCTCGAGTTCAGCGGACTCCTTCTCCAGCAGCACCTCCACGGACTCCGTGTCAATCCACTTGGTCCACTGCGACGCCGCTGCCTCTTCGTAATTCGCCTTCGTAGGTGGGTCCATCCGACTCCAGACCTTCTCCTTCCGGGCTCGTCCCTGAACGAGCATCGCCTCCAACTGTGGATCAACCGCAGGTACCGTCTCCAGGTGATCCAGAAAGCGCCGTCGATCTGCTTCAGGAACACCCTGGAGCCATGCTTTAGCTCGTTATTTTTTCACACCCGTGACCCACAGCGCCTCGTCGGGGTGCTTGGGTTCCGGCGGCCCGTCACGTCCTCCACGAGATGGTACCGCAGGCAGCTCAGCTTCCACCACATCACGCTTCCTGCCATGAGGCTGGACCTCAGGCTCCACAGAGGCCGTCTCCACCGCAGGCGTGCTGAGGCTCGAAGCATCACCTTCGCGTCCTTGATCCTCGTCCTCGTCGTCCTCGACGCGCGGCGTCTTTGGCGCGAAGTTGCCGTAGGGCCCGAACTGTCCGTCTGGAACGACGCTCGCCACCGGTACCGTAGCGGTCGAAGCCCTCGCCCGCTCACGCACTTCTCCAACTTGCTTCTGGATGGTCTTCGCCACGCGCAGCGTCTTTGACCGGATCGGGCCCTCCCTCTGGTCCCGCAGCCGCTGCGCCACGTCCTGCAGGAAGTCCGTCTTCCCGCTCTCCCGGGAACTCGTCTTCCGCGAGAACTCAGCGCTCGAAATGGGATCGAGCTCGCCACTGGCCGAAGTACCGGCCATCGCAGCCACGACGGCTGATGGTGGGATCCCTGCCGTCGACTCCTTCTGCTCCTGCTCGGCCTGCCCCTCGACGTCCTCGTCAGCTTGAGAAGGTCGAGCTTCATCTTCCGGCGCTTCACCTTCGTCGATTGGGAC